GACTTTTTGGATTCTATTGCAGAGATAGGATGACAATAAACGACAACTAGTGGGATGTAAATTATAGAAATAAAGTTTACGAACCAGAATCGAATGGGAAACACAATCAAAGGCCTTGGTAAGATCTAGAAAAGAAATTGTACTGAAAATACCCTTGTCAAAGCAATTTGTGATTTCGTTAACAATATCAGTAATGGCTTTCGAGGTGTTTAATCTGGGCCTGAAACCGAATTGATTGTCACATAATACATTCTTTTCCTCAAAATAATGACATAATTGACCCATCAGAATTCTCTCCAGAACTTTCGATAAAATGGGCAATAGTGATATCGGTCGGTAATTGCTGATCTCATTGGGTTCTCCCTTTTTAAAAATTGGTAGGACATTTGCAATTTTCAAGCAGTCAGGGAAAGTAAGTGTTTTAATACTTGTATTAATTAGTTTCGTAAGGGGAGATATTATGACATCCAGAACGGTTTTGACTATTTCAACACTAAGACCATAGATATCTTTGGTTTTACTATTTCTTAATTTTTTTACGACATCACGAACTTCAGCGCAAGACACTTCGCTAAACTGAAAATACGTTAAACTATTATCACAGTTATTATTGCACATTAACAGAATGGGATCACAGTTTGAATGAGGAAGCTTATTAATCACATTTTTTGCGATGTTACAAAAAAAATCATTAAAATCATGAGCACTTTTATTACAACCGCATATTTTATTCGTTTTCTTAACACTTCGTTTAGAATTAATCATAGACCATATTGCTCGCATTTTATTATGAGATTGATTTATATATTTATCGTTAGCACTGATTTTTGCGTTTTTAATTGCTTCTTGATACATTTTGCGATATGAGTTTCTAGATTTTTTTATATCAAGGCGATTTGTTAGAAGATAAAGATCATTCAACTTGGATAAATTGTTTTTCATAGTTTTTAGATGGTAAGAATACCAATGAATGCCTTTACAATAAGATGGTTTAATTACTTTTTCTGGGAACGAGATACAAACATAGTGCTCCAAAACATTGAGAAAATCTTCAAAAGCTTTGTTTATGTCGTATGCGCAGTTACAACTTAAAAATGCGAAAAATGAAAAATCGAGAAAGTAAACTGATTTTTCAGTTTTTAATTTTTCAATCTTTTGATGTTTTAGATTTTCGATATTTCAATATTGGGACTTTTCACTATTTGGCTTCAATTTTTCAATTTTTTTTAATCGAAAAATTGGAAAATGGAAATATTTAAAAATCAAAAATGTAAAAATTGAGAATCGAAATATTGAAAAATCCCAAAGCAAAAGTCGAAAAATCCAAAAATCGAAGTCAAAAAATTGAAAAATCTAAAATTTAAAAATTGAAAAATCGTAAATGTAAATCGATTTTTCAATTTTTGAAGTTTTAAATTTTTTAATTTTTCAATTTTTCGATATTTCAGTTTTGGGATTTTTCACAATTTGGCTTCAATTTTTCCCTTTTTTTATTCGAAAAATTGAAAAATAGAAAAGTTGAAAAATCGAAATAATGAAAAATCAAAGAGGTAAAAAATTGAAAAATCCAATGGAAATAATGAAAAATCCGGAAGCTCAAGACTCGAAAATTGAAGAATGGAAGAAAATTGAAAACACGAAAAATCAAAAAGTCGAAGTCGAAAATCGAAAAGCTAAAAAATATAAAAGTTGAAAATCGACAAAGTAAATCGATTTTTCATTTTTTGAGTTTTCAATTTTTCAATTTTTCAATTTTTCGAATTTTTGATGTTTTAGATTTCGATATTTCAATTTTGGGACTTTTCAGCATTTGGCTTCAATTTTTCCATTTTTTTTTTTTTATTCAAAAAATTGAATAATCGAAAAATTGAAAAATTTAAATATTGAAAAATCAAAAAGGTAAAAAATCGAGAAATCGAAAAACCGAATCGAAATATAGAACAACCAGAAAGTCAAAGGCCCAAAAATTGAAAAATTAGAAAATTTAAAATTAAAAAATCCAAAAAATGAAAAAACAAAAAAGTAAATCTGTTTTTCAATTTTTCGATTTTTTGATGCTTCTGATTTTCGATATTTCAATTTTGGAGTATTTCACTATTTGGCTTGAATTTTTCAATTTTTTTAATCGAAAAATTGAAAAATCGAAATATTGAAATATCTAAAATTTAAAATTCCAAAAATTGAAAAATCGAAAAAGTAAAAAGGTTGACACATCGAAAAATCCAGAAGTCAAAAATAGAAAAGCCGAAGAATTGAAATATTGAAAAATCCTAAAACTGAAATATCTATAGACTGAAAAATCAAAAAATCAAAAAAATGAAGTCGAAAAATAGAAACCTCAAAAAATCGAAAAATTAAAAATCAAGAACCTGAAAAATTAGAGAATTGAAGAACAAAAAAATCGAAACACTCGAAGGTCAAGAAATGGGAAAATCAAAACATGGATTTATTGAAAAATCGAAAAATTGAGAATTTATAGAAATCAAATTTGAAAAATTAAAAAATCGAAAATTTGACAAAATGACAATTGCAAAACAGAAAATCTAAAACTGGGAAGTCGAAAAATCAAAAGATTAAGAAATCGAAACATTTGAAAAATTCGAAAACTTGAAAAATTGAAATATCGAAGAACTGAAATGAAAAATCGAAAAATCTAAAATTTTAAAAATAAAAAAATCGCCACATCGAAAAATCCAGGAGTCAAAAATCGAAAAGTCGAAGAATCGAAATATTGAAAAATCCCAATACTGAAATATCGAAAGACTGAAAAATGGAAGAAAAACTAAAAATGGGAAAGTAAATCGGGAAATCAAAACATTAAAAAATCGAAAAATTTAAAACGACAATTGTAAACAGAAAATCTAAAACCGGGAAGTCGAAAAATCGAAAGATTAAGTAATCGAAAAAGAAAAAAAACCGACACATCGAAAACTCCAGAAGCCAAAAATCGAAAAGTCGAAGAATCGAAATATTGAAAAATCCCAAAATTGAAATATCGAACTGAAAAATGAAAGAAAAACTGAAAAATGGAAAACCTGAAAAATCCGAAAACTGAAATATCCAAAAACTGAGAACCTAAGAGTCGAAAAACTGAGCAATCCAAAAAGTGAAGTCGAAAGCTTGAAGCCTTAAAAAAACTAAAAAATGAAAAATCAAAAACCTGAAAAATCGAAAAATTAAAGAATTGAAGAGCAGGAATATTGAAACCCTGAAAACTTGAAAAATTGACAGTTTATAAATGTCAAATTTGAAAAATAAAAAATTTGAAAAAACGACGATTGAAAAACAGAAAATCTAAAACCGGGAAGTCGAAAAATCGACAGCTTAAGAAATCAAAACATTTGAAAAATTCGAAAACTTGAAAAACTGAAATATCGAAGAACCGAAATGAAAAATCGAGAAATCGAAAAATCTAAAATTTTAAATATTGAAAAATTAAAATATCAAAAAACTGAAAAATGTAAAATTTAAACATCGAAGAATTGAAAAAACGACAATTGAAAAACAGAAAATCTAAAACCGGGAAGTCGAAAAATTAAGAAATCGAAACATTTGAAAAATTGAAATATGGAAGAGCTGAAATGAAAACTCGAAAAATCTAAAATTTTAAATATGAAAAATTAAAATACCAAAAAATTGAGAAGTCTAAAATATAAAAATCGAAAAAGTAAAAAGTCGACACATCGAAAAATCTAGAAGTCAAAAATGCAAAAGTCGAAGAATAGAAATATTGAAAAATACCAAAACTGAAATATCGAAAAACTGAAAAATGAAAGAAAAACTGACGAATCGAAAACTGAAAAATCCCAAAACTGAAATTTTCAAAAACTGAGAAATTAAAAAATTGAGAAATCGAAAAATCAGAAAAGTGAAGTTGAAAAACCGAAATCTGAAAAAATAAAAAAATTGAAAAACCAAAAAACATGAAAAATCAATTAATTGAAAAATCGACAAATAAAGAGTTTATAAAAGTCAAAAATTGAAAAATCGAAATATTTAAAAATCGTAAAATTGAAGAGAAAAACTGAAAAATTGAGAAATTGTAAAATCCAAAAATTGAATAATAAATAGTAGTAAACTGAAAAGTCCCCAAACTAAAATCTCGAAAAACTGAGAATTCGAAAGTTAAAACACCGAAACGTGCTCGTTGCGCTCGGATTCTTAATTTTCTCTTTTAAATTAATTCGGTGGGGCTACTCAGATTTGTTTTATTGTAATAATCATCCTTTTTTAATTACTTTATAGGGAGATTTTTTTATAAAAGTTGTTGAAAAAAAAATGGTTCAGTTAACTTTGTTGATTGATTTTTGATTAAAAAATCAATAAAAATGGTAAAAATAAATCAGGTGACCTGACCAGACTTGACTTTGCCTTACCTGACCTGACTAAATTCTTTAGACTGTTTTTTTTACATTCGCGGTTTTGACAAAGAAAAAATCTTCCCAACCAAGTTATTTTAGTTGAGAAATTTTGACATATTTCCTTCAAAGTTTGACCCTCAAAAGATCTCCGAACCTGATTGTTGCAATATCCATTATTGATGATGTTTGAATAGGACGGAACTGGTTGGAGTGCGGAGTTTCAATAAGATAACAGTAGGGGTCGTGATTATTTTTATATTTTCGTAGCATTTTAATAACAAATGTTTGTAATTTTATTCCAAACCTGTCTAGTCAAGCAACTGTAATTCGCCTGGATGAGATTTTCGCCAAGCGTAAACATTGCAAAATTTTATTAATATTGGCGACCCCGGTGGTGGAAATAAGAGCCACCGCCTTATTAAATTCATCCGAATTTTTTGCCACCGCATTATTACATTTCGACTACGGTAAATTATAAGTTATATTATATTAAAAACCCTTCGCTCTCTTTCTTCCTTGCGTAGATTTTTACATACTTACTGTACATACAACCCCTGATCCAGTAGTATTGTATGCACCCCTAACTCCACTAATTCAACCCCCATCGTCAGAATTTTCACGTAGCCCTTTTTGTTGCAGGATCGTAGGCCCGACTGAAATGTACCACTGGGGGCCAAATATGGAGGGGGGCTTGGACGCAGCGCTCGCCGCCACGCCGCCATGGCGCTGCTGATGCGACGTCTATTCGTAGACGCTCAGGTACAATGAAAATTACATCCCACACCACTTAAAACACCATTCTTTATTGTTAATGTCATCATTTCGCACCGTTCATAACCGCATTCATTTCCCCTGACGCCCATAGTTCTTCGGCTCCATCCATTATTAAGGAAAGAAGGCAGGCAGGAAGATGGTTGCCATTTTTCTGTGTAACTGTGGAATGGGCTGCAGGTGCGAAACGGGGATGTTTTAGGCGTAATTTTAATTTTACGGATGGCGGGAGGCGGCGGTAATTCGGGCGGTATTGGTTTTCGATTATGTGTTGATGGGTAGTGATAGGGGAAGTGAGGCGTGCATAAATATAGAATTAATTATTTTAATAGAGTGCGCTGTGGTGGCGATGTGGGGTTCATAATTCCCGATTTTCACAAACTGTCTAAAATTTCTGAAAAACTTTTTCACCTATTTTACATTGAACATTTTCTGCGAATATCGTCGGATTCTGCTGTATTCTTTTAAATCCTTTTGGATATTTTTCAGATTCTCTTGTATTCTGTCGGATTTTTTTCGTATTCCTTAGGTTCTGTCGAATTCTATCGAATTCTACCAGATTCTCGTGAATCCTCGCGAACTTTCTGGCAAACCTGGGATTTTTTCGAATCCGCTGGAATTTTTTCCGGCTCACTTATGTTCTTTTGGATTTGGCTGGGTTCTCTCGAATTCTCTCGAATTTTCTTGGATTCTGTAAGATTGTGTCGCCTTTTCTCGATTTTTTGGTTTTCTTTCAGATTCTTTCGGATTCTGCCGGATTCTCTTGAATCTTCTCAAAATTTGGCCGGATTCTTCCTCAACTGTCTTCTCGAAATTTTGGTTGGATTCTTTGGTATTCTTTTCGTATTTTGCAGGATCTTGGATTTTTTCGGACATTCTCGTAATCTTGTGCATTCTTTTGGACTCTTCTCTATCCTCTCGGAATATAGTCGGATTCTGTCGCATTCTTTCGGATTCTTTTCGGATTTTTTCAGATTCTGTCGAATTCTCTTGAATACGCTCGATTTTTTTTTGATCTTCTCAGATTGTTTCGTATTCACTTATAGATTTTCATATTTTCTTGTATTTTTGTAGTCTTTGGGATTCTCTCGATTTTTTTCGTATTCTCTCAGGTTCTTTCGGATTCTTCCGGACTCTTAAATCTTCTCAAAACTGGTCGGATTCTTTCATATCCTCCGATTCTTTCTAATTCTCTACAATCTTCTCGAAATTTGGGAGGATTCTCCTGTATTCTATGGCTTTCTTTTCGTATTCTGTCGGATCTCGGATTTTTTCGTATGCTCTTATTTTTTCTTTTTGTATCCTATTTTTGGAGTCTCGGAATTTTTTGGATTTTATTGAACTCTCTAGCAGTATCTCAAACTTCTTTCATTTTCTCTGTTATTTTATCAGATTTCCTCGCCCTTTCTCGGATTTTTTCGAATTTTCGTATATTCTCGTATTTTATGGATTATTTAGGATGTTTTTGGATCCTTTAGATTCTGTCGGATTCTCTCGACTTACATTTTTCAGGATTCCCTTATATTCATTCAGATTTTTCGGATTCTACGACATTCTCGTGAATCCTCTCGGACTGGACTGTCTGGAATACCCTCGGATTTTTTCGGGTTCTCTCACTTTCTCTCGGATTTGTCTGGATTCTCTGGAATTCTCTCCAGTTTTCTTTGATTCTCTCAGATTGTTTCGTGTTTTTCAGATACTTTCAAATTCTTCGGGATTCGCTTGAATCTTCTCAAAATTTAGTCGGATTCTTTCTAATTTTGTATGATCTTCTCATATTCTCGTGGATTGTTTTGAACTCTCCCCGATCCTTACGAAATATCGTCGGATTCTGTCGTATTCTTTCGGATTCTTTCCGAAATTTTTCGGATTCTGTTGTATTCTCTCGAATTATTTTAGGATTCTGTTAGATTCTCTCGAATTCTTCCGGATTCTCGTAAATATTCTTGGATTTTCTGGGATTCGCTCGGATCTTTCGAATCAGCTGGAATTTCGGATTTGTCCAGATTTTTCCGAATTCTCTCGCATTTTTTTGGATTCGCTCCAATTGTTTCGTATTCCCTTGAAGACTTTCGTATCTTCTCGAATTTTTTACAGTCTCACGGATTTTTTCGTATTATCTCAGATTTTTCCGGATTCTTCTGGATTCTCTCAAATCTTCTCGAAACTTGGGTGGATTCTTTTGAACTCTCCCCAATCCTCTCGGAATATCGTTGGATTCTGTTGTATTCTTTCGGACTCGTTAAAATTTTTTTCAGATTCTGTCGGATTCTCTCGAATTATTTTAGGATTCTCTTAAATTCTCTCGAATTCTTCCGAATTTTCAGCTGGAAATTTTTCCGGTTTGTTCATAATCTTTCGGCTTTGTCCAGATTCTCTCGAATTCTCTCGCAGTTTTGGCATTCTCTCAGATTGTTTCATATTCTCCTGAAGTCTATTTTCTCGTATTTTTTACAGTTCCTCTAATTTTTTAGTATTGTCTTAGATTCCTTCAGATTCTTCTCGGTTGCCTTGATACTTTACAAAATTTGGTCGGATTATTCTTTCATATTTCCATCGAATATTGCATTTTTTTCGGATTTTCTCGCATTGTCGTGGATTCTTTTGGACTCTCCCCGATCCTCTTGGAATATCGTGGAATATCGTAGGATTTTGTCTATTTTTTTCGGATTCTTTGCCGAATTTTTCCAGATTCTGTCGAATTACTTTAGGATTCTCTTAAATTCGCTCGAATTCTTTTCTATTATCTGTTTTATTTTTATTTTTTTGGAATTCGGTGCGAATCTCTCCAAATTTGGTCGGATTATTCTCTCGTCCTTTCTCGGGTTCTTTCAAATCCGCTGGAATTCCTCCCGGATTCTCTCATATACTTTCAGATATGTCCAGATGTTCTTGAATTCTCTAGAATTTTCTTGGATTCTTTCAACTTGTTTCGTACGCTCCCGGATGTTTTCGTATTCTTACAGATTCTGTCGAATTCTTTCGGATTATTTCAGGATTCTCTTAGATTCATTCGGATTCTTTCGAAGCCGCTGGAATTTTTTCGGATTCTATCATGTTCATTTCCCTTGGAATTTCTCAGGATGTTAAGTCTCCTCGATTTTTTCATTTTCTCTCAGATTCTCGTGAATCAAAATTTGGTGGGATTCTTTCTAAGTATGTACGATCTTCTCGAAATATTGTCTGATTCTGTCGTATTGTTTCAGATTCTTTCCGAATTTTCTCAGATTCTGTTGGATTCTCTTGAATTATTTTAGGATTGTTTTAGATTCTCTCGAATTGTTCCAGATTCTCATAAATACATTCAGTTTTCTGGGATTCTCTCGGATCTTTCGAATCAGATGAAATTTTTTCTGGTCGCTGCATATTCTTTCCGATTTGTCCGGATTCTCCGGAATTCTCTCCAATTTTCTTGGATTCTCTGAGATTGTTTCGTATTCTCTCGGATTCTATTGAATCTTTTCAAAATTTGGTCGGATTCTCTCGTTTTCTCGTGGATTTTTTTGGATTCTTTCGTCTATTTTTCTCATATTTTCGTGGATTCTTTTGGACTTTCCCCGATCCTCTCGGAATATCGTCGGATTCTGTCGTATTGTTTCAAATTCTTTCCGAATTTTCTCATATTCTGTCGGCTTCTGTCGAATTATTTTAGGATTCTCTTAGATTTTCTCGAATTGTTCCGGATTTTCGTAAACACTCTGGTATTTTCTGGGATTCTCTTGGATCTTTCGAAGCAGCTGGAATTTTTTTCGGGGTCTCTCATATTATTTCGGATTAGTCAGGATTCTCTCGAATTCTCTCCAATTTTCTTGGATTCTCCGAGATTGTTTCGTATTCTCTCGGATTCTATTGAATTTTCTCAAAATTTGGTCAGATTCTCTCGTTTTCTCGTGGATTATTTCGGATTCTTTCGTCTTTTTTTCTCATATTCTCGTGGATTCTTTTGGACTTTCCCCGATCCTCTCGGAATATCGTCGGATTCTGTGGTATTGTTTCAAATTCTTTCCGAATTTTCTCAAATTCTGTCGGATTCTCTCGAATTATTTTAGGATTCTCTTGGATTCTTTCGAATTGTTCCGGATTTTCGTAAACACTGGTATTTTCTGGGATTATCTTGGATCTTTCGAATCAGCTGGAACTTTTTTCGGGGTCTCTCATATTATTTCGGATTAGTCAGGATTCTCTCAAATTCTCTCCAATTTTCTTGGATTTTCTGAGATTGTTTCGTATTCTCTTGGATTCTGTTTAATCTTCTCAAAGTTTGGTCGGATTCTCTCGTTTTCTCGTGGATTTTCTTGAATTCTTCCGTTTTTTTTTCTCATATTCTCGGGGATTCTTTTGGACTTTCCCCGATCTTCTCGGAATATCGTCGGATTCTGTGGTATTGTTTCAAATTCTTTCCGAGCTTTCTCAGATTCTGTCGGATTCTCTCGAATTATTTTAGGATTCTCTTAGATTAATTAAATTAAATACTTCCAGTTTTCTGGGATTCTCTCTCTTGCTAAGTCTGTACGATCTTCTCGAATTTTCTTGGATTTTCTGAGTTTGTTTCGTCTTCTCTCGGATTCTATTGAATCTTCTCAAAATTTGGTCAGATTCTGTCGTTTTCTCGTGGATTTTCTCGGATTCTTTCGTCTTTTTTTCTCATATTCTCGTAGATTCTTTCCCCTCTCTCTCGGAATATCGTCGGATTCTGTCGTATTGTTTCAAATTCTTTCCGAATTTTCTAAGATTCTGTCGGATTCTCTCGAATTATTTTAGGATTCTCTTAGATTCTCTCGAATTGTTCCGGACACTCATGGATTTTCTGGGATTCTCTTGGATCTTTCGAATCAGCTGGAATTTTTTTCGGGTTCTCTCATATTCTGTCGGATTAGTCCGGATTCTCTCGAATTCACTCCAGTTTTCTTAAATTCGCCGGATTTTGCCGAATTCTATCCAATCGTCTCGGAATATCGTCGGATTCTGCCGTATTCTTTCAAATCTTTTACGACTTTTTCAGATTCTCTTGTCTTCTTTCGGATTTTTTCGTATTCCTTCAGATTCTCTCGAATTCTATCAGATTTCTGGGATACTTCAGAATTCTTTCGAATCCACTGGAATTTTTTCGGGTTTTCTCATGTTTTCTCTCGGTTTTTCTGGGATTTTCTCGTATTCTTTCGTCTTTTTTTTCTCATATTCTCGTGGATTCTTTTGGACTTTTGGATCCTGTCGTATTCTTCCGGATCCTTTCCGAATTTTTTTAGATACCGTCGGATTCTCTCGAAAGATTCTGTTAGATTCTCTCGAATTCTTCCGGATTTTCGTAAATACTCTTAGTTTTCGGGGATTCTCTCGGATCTTTCGAAATATCTTCTTTCATATTCTTTCGGATTTGTCCGGATTCCCTCGGATTCTTTCGAATTCTCTTAAATCTTCTCAAAACTTGGTCGGATTCTTTCGTATTCCCTCGATTCTATCTAATTCTCTACGATCTTCTCGAAATTGGGTGGATTCTCTCCTCTTTTTCGTCACTCTCATATATTTTTTTAATCTTTGGAAGTTTCTCAGATTTCTCTAGAGTCTCGGTTTTTCATATTCTCTTTTATTCTTTCGGATTCGCAGTTTTTGGAAAGAAGATTTTTTTCTGAATTCGGAACTGTAACATATGCGTACACTTTTTTAAATAAAACGGCAATGTAATGATAAATTATTTATTAATTAGAAAATTGTAGTTTCGCTTTGAAAATACTGTCCTCGATTTGTCAGTGTGTACTGAAAAGCAAACTTATATGTCCATGTTTAAAAATATTTCAATAAAACACTAAAATTAGCTGAAAAACTGAACAAATGGACTGCTTCCATACTTTTTAGCGACCCTGTACGTATATTTTTAAATTAATAAAGTTAGATATCTAGTAAATATAGTTAACAATCGGTGCATGTTTAACTTTTCAGGCAAAGCTTCGCAGAATGGTAGAGGAACACTCTGCCAACTTAACCGCTCGGATAGACTCCGACTACCCTAGTTCTATTCCTCCTCCCGTCTCCAACTCCGCTTGTCCCTCCCAAGACTTGAAACTGACCGACTCCTCTTCCGGCTCCCCCATCGGTCAGGTCTCTGACGTAAACTTCGTGAAACCTCTGCTTGGCGCCGAAGAAAAAGAAACCGCCGCTTGTGATTTAGATGTTAAGTGTATAACGGAACTGAAAAAAGACGTTTACAAATCGTCCCGGCCGAGTTCCATAGAGTCCCGTCGGAGCAAATCCCTATGTAACACTAGCTCGGTAGAGTCCAGCGACGACGTCAAAGGCAAAAAGGACGTCAAAAAGACCAAATCCAACCCGGTGAAATGTGAGGGGCCAACAACCAGCGAAACAACGAACGATAAGAAGGATACCATGACGGTGGAGGAGAGCGCCAGCCCGGCCAAGGACCGCTCCTCACCCGAGACCCAGGGCGCGGATCGCCAGGAGTCGCCCAAGCCCGGGTGCAGCACCCAGCCGGAAATCGGTAACTCCAACCCCCCTGAAGTCCCCCCAAATTATCGCGCGTTCTTCCAGACTCGTCTTCTCCGCGCTCCCCCAGGAGCTCCGACGGGACCCGCGACGAGGCCAGCATGCTGCTGCCGTCGCCCTCCAGCTACCCGAAGGCGGCGTCGGCCATCCGGAGGCTGCGTCTGGAGAACGAGCGCCTCCAGGCGGAGGTGACGCGGCTGCGGCGGCTGGTGGTGTCGGGGGCGTCTTCCGTTCTAGCCGAGAAGAAAACTCCCACGGAGGGCAACGGGGACAGCAAGGCGAATGTGCTCGAAATGGAGCTGCAGCTAGCCAAGGAGGCGCTAATCAGTGAGTTCCGCCGGAGTTGTGAGGTGCACTTTAATCGCTCTTTGCAGCTCTTAAATCCGACAGGCGACGATTGAAGGCGGAGAAATTCGATCTGCTGGGGCAGATGAAGCAGCTTTACGCCACGCTGGAGGACAAGGAGAAGGAACTGAGGGACTTTATCCGGAACTACGAACAAGTAAGTGCTGGAGAGGGTCGGAGGTGTTATCTGGAAAGTCTAGGAATTGAGGTTGCGATAGATCGGTTCCGGTTAAATTTCGAAGGGGACTGTCAATATTTTTTCTTTGGTTTTTCTCGTCTCTTATTTGTTTTTAGGTCACTTGAGGATGAACTATAGGATTAACATTTTTATAATTTGAATCTAAATTTTAGTTGTTTTAAATAATCGTTCAAATTATACAATGGGTCAATTTCCACTCTTTTCTAAGTTATGTTTCTTAAAACTTTTGAGAATTAATTTAGGATTTATTGCTTCCTAATTTAATTCAATTTTGGATTTTTGTTGTCGTAATGTAAATATTCAAAGCCAACTTGATGACTTTTTTCTTCTTTATCAGTTTTTCAATATTTCAGTTTTCCAATCTTTAATTTTTCGAATTCTCAATTTTGTGTTGCTTCAGTTTTTCAAGTTTTGGATTTTTATCTTTCATTTTACCGATTTTTTTTCATTTATTTTTTATTGTTTCTTTCAATTTTATGCTTTTTCGTTTATTCAATTTTTCAAATTGTTAATCTTTGATTTTTCATTTCCTTGATTTTCCGATTTTTAAATTTTTATATTTTGCAATTTTTGGATTTCCGATTATCCGATTTCCTGATTTCTTTAATTTTCAATATTTTGATTTTAGTGTATGTATGCATTTCGGTTTTTCGATTTGGCACTTTTTTGATTTTTAAGTTGTTCAATTTTTTATTTTTCGATTTTTCAATTTCTCGTTTCTTTAATTTTTCAAGTTCTTGATTTCTAATTTTTAGAATTTTAAAGTTCTAATTTTATTTTTTTCGGTTTTTAATTTTTGATTTTTCAATTTTGCAATTTTGCCGTTTTTACACTTTTTTGATTCGAAGTTGAAATTCGAAAAATTGGCAAAAGAAAGATTAAAAAAAAACTAAAAACTGCCAAATCGAAAAAGTGGAAAATCAAAAAATTGAAAGTCTCAAAGTTGCACATTGAAAAATTGAAAAATCCAAAATTGAAGAATTTTATACTAAAAAAAAAAGGAAAATCATAAAATCAGAATGTTGAAAATTGAAAAGGATTGAAAAATTAAAGAAAATAAAAAATCGAAACCAAAAATTGCAAATCGAAAAAAAAAATTGAAATCTGCTGAAATCGCAAATCGAAAAACTGCAAAATCTAAAAGAGGAAACACCCAAAAGTTGGAAAATCAAAAAACTGAAAAATTTAAGAATGAAAACTCGAAGAGTTGTATATCGTAAACTTGTAGTAACAAATAATGTATAATGAAAAGTTGAAAAATTGTAAATCGAAAAATTGAAGAAATGAAAAGTTGAAAAAATTTGAAATTCAAAAAACAAAAAATGATAAAACTGCAAAATCGAAAAAGTGGAAAATTGAAGCACTGAAGAACGAAAAATACAAACATTGAAAAACTAAAAATCGAGAAACTTAAAAATCGAATAAATCAAGTAGTTTTAAAATCCAGTAATTAAAAAATGCGAAAATTCGAAAATCATAAAATCGGAAAATCGGAAAGGTGAAAACTTTTTTAAATTATTACATATTTAAAACAAAAACTAGAAAAATTCGAAACATAGACTGAAGAAACGAAAAATTGAAAAATCATGAAACTGAAAAATCTAGAACTGAAAAAACGAAAAATTAAAAAATCTAAAAGTTGGAAACTCGAAAAATTGAAAATTTTCTCATTGAAAACAGAGAAGAATTATAAAATCAGAACACTGAAAATCCGAACGATTATAAAAATAAAAGAATAGAAAAAATCCAAATTGAAAAAACAGAAAATGATAAAATTGGAATATTGAAAAATCGACCAATTGAAAAAATAAAAATAAAAAACCGAAGAAATTAAAAATTTAAAATCGAAAAATCGAAAACTCGTGAAACCGCAAATTGAAAAATGGAAAAATTCTAAAATTGTAAAAGCGAAAAAGTGTTTTTTTTTATTACATATTTAAAACTAAATATAGAAAAATTCCTAATCACAAACTGAGAAGTGAAAAATTAAAAAATCTAAAATTTGACAATTTGAAAAATTGAAAACCTCAAAGTTGCACGTTGAGAAATTAACATTGAAAATCCGGAAAATTGAAAAAATAAAGAAAATAAAAACAGAAAACGAAAAATTACAAATTGAAAAATTGAAAATTGTAACATCCAAAAGGTGGAAAATCTAAAAACTGAAATATTTAAGAATGAAAATTCGAAGAGTTTATTGTAAATTTGAAGAAACAAAAAAAATGAGAATTTGGAAAATTGCAAATCGAAAAATTGAAGAAATGAAAAATTGAAAAAATTTTAAACTGAAAAAACAAAAAATGATAAAACTGCAAAATCGAAAAATTGGAAAATCGAAGAACTGAAGAACGGAAAATACAAACATTGAAAGACAAAAACCGAGAATACAGTAGTTTTAAAATCCAATAATTACAAAATGGGAAAATTTGAAAATCGTAAAATTGAAAAGGTAAAAACTTTTTTAAATTATTACATATTTAAAACGAAAAGTAGAAAAAATGCAAATCAAAGATTGAAAAAACGAAAAATTAAAAAATCTAAAAGTTGAAGAATAAAAAAAATTGAACGGCAAAACTGCACATTGAAAAATTGAAAAATCTAAAAATTGAAAAATTTCTCATTAAAAAAAAGAAAAATTATAAAATCAGAAAAATCCGAACGATTGAAAAATTAAAAATATTGAAAAAATTGAAATTGAAAAAACAGAACATGCTAAAATTGGAATACTGAAAAACCGAAAAATTGTAAAACTAAAGAAAATAAATAATAACAAAATTGAAAAACTACTAAACTGAAAAATCGCAAATCGAAAAACTGAAGAACGAAAAATTGAAAAAATTAAATTTCAAAAAAAAAAAATTATAATATCGATACATTGAACAATCGAACAATTGAAAAAATAAAAACGAAAAACCAAAACGAAAAATCGAAAATCGAAAAACCGAAGAAATTAAAAATTTAAAAGTCGAAAAATTGAAAACTCCTTCAACCGCAAATTGAAAAATGGGAACATTCTAAAATCGTAAAAGTGAAAAAGTGTTTTTTTTTTTAATTATTACATATTTAAAACGAAACAGAAAAATTCTAAATCCAAAACTGAGAAACGAAAAATTAAAAAATCTAAAATTTGACAATTTGAAAAATTGAAAACCTCGAAGTACACGTTGAAAAATTAAAAAATCCAAAAATTGAAAAATTATAACATCAGAAAATTGAAAAACCGGAGAATTGAAAAAATAAAGAAAATAAAAAACAGAAAACGAAAAATTGCAAATTGGAAAATTGATAAAATGAAAAATTTAAATTCGAAAAATTGAAAACCCGTGAAACTTCAAATCGGAAAGTCGCGAAATCTAAAAATCGAAACATCCTAAAGGTGGAAAATCGAAAAACTGAAAAAATTAAGAATGAATTTGCGAAAAGTTTATCTTGAATTTGAAGAAACAAAAAAACAATGAAAAGTGGAAAAATTGCAAATCGAAAAATTGCAAATCGAAGAACTGAAGAGCGAAAAATAGAAAAACTAAAAATTGAAAAACTTAAAAAGCGAAAAAAATTAATGAATCGAAAAATTGAAAATGGAAAAAATGAAATAGTTTTAAAATTCAATAATTGAAAAATGGAAAAATTGTAAAATATTCAAATTGAAAAAGGGAAAAATTTATAGAATTATTATTACATATTTAAAACGGAAACTAGAAAAATTGCAAACCAAAAATTGAAGAAACGAAAAATTGAAAAATCATAAAATTGAAAAATCTAAAATTGAAATAATGAAACATTAAAAAATCTAAAATTTAAACAGTAAAAAAAAAGAAAACCGCGACATTGCAAATCTATAAATTGAAAACATTCACATGAAAAGAAGAAAAAATCATAAAATCGACAAATTGAACAAATGAAACATTGAAAACTGAAAAATTCGTCAAAGTGCAAATCGAAAAATTGCAAAATGTAAAATCTGAAACGAAAACTGGAAAATCGAAAAACTAAAAAATTAAAGAGTGGAAACTCGAAAAGTTGCAAACCGAAAACTTGAAGAAATAAAGAAAATAATAAACCGGAATGAAAAACTGCAAATCGAAAATTTGAAGAAATGAAAAATTTAAAGTCGAAAAATTGAAAAATGGCAATATCTAAAAATGGAGGAATGAAGAAAAATGGAAAATTGAAAATTCGCAAATCGAAAAACTAAATAAACGAAAAATTGAAAAAACTAAAATTTATAAAATCGATGGATTGAAAAATTGAAAAATAAAGAAAATAGAAAAACGAAATGAAAAATTGTGATTCCAAAAATTGAAAAATCTAAAAATTGAAACATCCGAAAGGTGGAAAATCTGAAAACTAATCAACTTAAGAATAGTTACAAATCGAAAATTTGAAGAAATGAAAAATTAAAGAGTCGAAAAATTGAAAAATTAAAAGTAAAATCGCGGAAAATTTGAAATCGAAAAATTGCAATATCTAAAAATGGAGGAATCAAGAAAAATGAAAAACTGAAAATTCGCGAATCGAAATGAATAAATAATTGAGAATATAAACATTAAAAAATAAATAAAAACTAAATCAAAAAATTGCAAATTGAAAAAGTGAAAAATTTAAGAACGAAATCTCGAAGAGTTACAAATCGAAAAATTTAAGAAATAAAGAAAATAAACCGAGACGAAAAACTGCAACTCGAAATCTCTGCTTGAAATCTCGAGAAATTTTAAATCGAAAATGGAGTCAAGAAAAATTAAAAAATTAAAATTGAAAAACAAAATTATATTGAAAAATCGAATAATTTGAAAAATAAAGGAAACAAAAACCGAAACGAAAAATTGCAAATTGAAAAATTGAAGAAACAAAGAAAATAATAAACCGGAACGAAAAACTGCAAATCGAAAATTTGAAGAAATGAAAAATTTAAAGTCGAAAAATTGAAAAATGGCAATATCTAAAAATGGAGGAATCAAGAAAAATGGAAAATTGAAAATTCGCAAATCGAAAAACTAAATAAACGAAAAATTGAAAAAACTAAAATTTATAAAATCGATGGATTGAGAAAATGAAAAATAAAGAAAATAAAAAAACGAAATGAAAAATTGTAATTCCAAAAATTGAAAAATCTAAAAATTGAAACATCCGAAAGTTGTAAAATCGAAAAACTAATAAACTTAAGAATGGTTGCAAATATAAAATTTGAAGAAATGAAAAAAGAGTAGAAAAATTGAAACGATAAAAGTTGAAATCTCGAAAAATTTGACATGGAAAAATTGCAATATCTAAAAATGGAGGAATCAAGAAAGATGAAAAATTGAAAATTTGCAAATCGAAATAAATAAATAATTGAAAAAATAAAAATAAAAAAATAAATAAAAACTAAAACAAAATATTGCAAATCGAAAATGTGAAAAAGTTAGGAACGAAAACTCGAAGAGTTACAAATCGAAAAATTGTAGAAATAAAAAAACTAAAACGAAACGAAAAACTGCAACTCGAAATCTGCTTGAAATCTCGAGAAATTTTAAATCGGAAATGGAGTCAAGAAAAATTTAAAAATCAAAATTGAAAAACAGAATTATATTGAAAAATCGAATAATTTGAAAAATAAAGAATACAAAAAATTAAGAACTGACAACTCCAGAGAATACTTAATCGAAAAATTATACTCCTAAAATCTAAAAATGTTAAAATGTAAAAGTGGAAAAATTGGAAAACTGGGCAGTCTAAAGTTCAAACTCGAAAAAATTACAAATCTAAAAACTGGAGAAATATTGAGGAACTTTTTACTTTATAGAGGTTATCAGAAAACAAAAATCGTTCGATTTAAGTCTAAGTTTTACACTAACTGATTACCCATCATAATTTATAACAGATAATAAACTAACAGCTGTTTTAAGATCAAAAGCCATCTGGGAACTTGTTATCGTATTGGTACTTTTCGAAAAATTCAAAATTTCTTTATATACTTTCCATATGTCACTCCAATGCATCCAACTTTCGGAAATCTTCGTCACTATCCTCCTCAAAAGTTACATTTTTTCGGCAATCCTGTTCTGCCACTTTAAACTTCCCCGACTATACCCGAAGGTGTCGTAGGTTAACAGCCCGACTAACCGCCCCCGATTAGCGACTCCCTCCCGCCCCCTCCCCCTTGTGTTTTCCCATCTACCTAGCTAATTTGTTTCAGCGGGTTAGGGAGAACGAAACTTCCCTCCAGCAACTTTCCACGGAACGCGAGGAACGCGAACGGGAGCGCTGGAGTTTATTGCGGCACGCTCGAGATGAAGCCGAACGCAGTTTATCTTTGGCGGCCCAACTTAACGCCAAAGAGTTACAGCTCCAGCAGGCGCAGGAACAGTTGCAAGATGTGAGTGTTCCCGACCAGGAATTTCGGGATTCTCAATGATTAATGTTTAGGCGAGACGACAGCTGGCTTCGAGTGGATGTCTGTCGGACCAGGAATCTTTGGCCTCGTTGCCGCGCCACAGCATCAACGGGGGAGCTCTGACTCCGGGCTCCGGGGGGCTGCTGTCGGGCCACCACGGGCTGGGGCTGCTTCCGGGGGATAGAGGTAGTTGCAGCGCGGACTCCGGAGTCCGGGTCAGCTCGGACCGGGAGAGTGGGGCTACTTCAGTGGCCGGGAACTTGTCGGACTCCACCACGGACGGGACTCCGACCATCACCGTGGAGGGGAGCAACGCGGAGGTGGACACGGTGTCGATCGTGTCTTCGGTGCCGCCGCCGCACATGTACCAAAGTACGTCCATGATTTAGATTTTTTAGCCGGAGTTTGAAACCCAGAAGTCTATATCTCAAGTCGGATGACTGTCATCCTAAACCTACAATGACAAGCTTTTCCGAAATATTTATCACTAGAGAGCGGATTTCTAGGTTTAATGCTTTTGTGAAAAATGTAAGCACTTCAAAACTTTTTTATATCTGTAACTATAATACAATTTGGAGTCATTTGACACTTTTTTTTTATGCTTATTTAATGCTTTTTTCGACGAATACGAGTTTTAATGCATATTTTGTTCAAATGCCGGCCTTGTCGAGATGACAAATACTTGTTAGTTAGCCGTATCGTATCGTATGCATTTTACCTGGACTTGACCATTGAAGTACACTTACTCAAGACCCTTTCTGTGAATAGGTTCCGGTCGTTTGGGTAATAAAATTTTATTATAGGATTGGAAAAATACTCCATAGATTTTATGACTTTAAATCCTTGCTTTCGTTGATAATGAATTAAAGCTTTTAACCAGATGTTCTTTTTCGGCATTTTGCGGCAAAACCGTTGAAGATTTTCTAGAAAAAAGCATTATTGTACCCAACTACCTACCTTAAAATTTTTCTGATGGAAACTTTTAAGTAAATGAACCGTTTATTTCACAACCATCAGTCTATCGCATCTGTCGTAGTACAGTGTTATACGTGGTTCTCCCTTGTTACATGTTGAGTTCTTTTTGGTAATATTACTAGTATTTTAAAAGAATGCCGAAAATAAAATCGACGCCGGATGAGTCGATAAAGGATTTTCCAGAATTAAAATTAGAAAACAACAAAATATTCTGCAGAGCTTGTGTGGAAACCGTAAACCCACTAATTTTTTTTTATCTATTTTCCTTTGTTAATCCTGTATATGTACGTTGTTTTAGATTCTAAGTGATAAAAAATATAACGTGACGCAACATGTCAGAACGACTCTTTATGTAGAAAGGACGAAAATGTTTGAAGTTCCTAAAATTAAACAGCAGACCATCTGTTGGATCTACACTCACAAAAGATGAGCAGTTTCAGTTTAATTTCGATTTATGTAAAATGATGATCCAGTCCAATATACCTTTAAAAAAATTGGAGAAAGGCCCTCTTCAAGAATTCCTTGAAAAACACTGCAATCGACATATTCCGGTTGAAAGTACTCTCCGAAAAAATTATGTAGGCCCAGTGTTTCAGCAAGTTTACAACGAAATTAAACATCGCATTGGAGATAATTATTTATGGTTCGCTGTCGATGAAACAACCGATAGTTGTGGAAGATACATGGCAAGTTTAATTGTTGGAATCTTAAATGAAAATTTCCCTAGTCGAGGGTATGTAGTAAGTTTGAAAATGTTAGATAAAACAAATGGCAATACGATTACCAGATTTGTAAATGACAGTCTTACGTCACTATTTTTGCCAATAAAATTTTATTGATGATCTCGGATGCAGTTCGTTATATGTTGAAAGCAGGGAATAATCTAAAAATATTGTACCCCAATTTAATTCACTCTACTTGCATTGTCCACGGTTTAAACAGAGTGGCTGAAGGAATACGTTTGCAGTTTCCTACTGTTAATAAATTAGTGGCAAATGGTAAAAAGATTTTTGTTAAAGCCCCACTAAGTGCAACATTTTAAGGAAAAATTTCCAAACATACCATTGCCTCCAGAGCCGATTATAACGAGGTGGGGAACATGGTTACAGGCCACATTTTATTATGACAAATATATCAAAGAATTTGAGGAAATAGTTACGGAGTTTAGCCAAGATTCTTCTCAATCGATTAAAGATTGCATAAATATTTTGGAAAACAAAGATTTGCGACAAGATCTAGCTTTTCTAAGAAGCAATTATCAATTCGTATGTGAGGTAATAGAAAAGTTAAAAAAACCCAACATGTTGTTGGTAGATGCCATAACCTTAGTGAAAGAATTTAAACAACAAGCAAACGCAGTAAGGGGTGATATTGGTACTAGAGTATCTCAAAAACTTGACGAAGTGTTAAATAAAAATGCAGGTTTCGGTGTTCTTTCCGACGTTGCTCGTGTTTTACAAGGCCAGAAGGTGGAAAATTTGGAGTTAGATTCAACATTAGTTGCAAAATTCAAATTTGCGCCAATAACGAGTGTGGATGTTGAACGCACATTCTCCAATTTTAAACACATTTTAAATGATCGGCGAAAAAATTTTACAGTGGACAACTTGGAACATATTACAATTATAAATTGTTTTAAAGAAAACTGAAATACGTGTGTAAAATATAAAGTCTAGGATTATTGTAAAAATATTTTATCCAAAGTTCTAAGAAGTGTTTTTTGCTTAAAATAAAACTTTTTTATTGAAAACGTTGTGCTTATTTAAGCGCTTATTCTTAATTTTTTTGTGCTTATAAATCCGCTCTCTATTTATCACGCCTCAAGTTTTGTGTTTTATCGGTTTTCATAACTCAGTTAGTCGGACGACGACAACTTGATGGATTCCGGGCCTCAAATTCCGCCTCCAGTAGTAACTAGAGCGGTATTAACAACAACTAATAAACAGTAGCTTTGGAGCATGTTACTAAGTATATTTTTACAGCAGTATCAACTAAAGACTGCAGCCCTACTTTATCGCCTCTTAACGCTAACACCTTCTCCAGATCAATAGATGCTGGAGCTTTATCTCGGTAAGTAATCATACAAAACGGGAAATGTTCCGCTGCATTAACTTCAAATTGTATGAAAGTACAACTAATTCCAGATCTGTGGAGCAATTAAGTTCGCCATTAGATCCCGAGCCGCTGCCGGTGGGGAGGCGGCTGAAGCACCCCCACGGGCGCCCGGGAGGCGGGCGCGGGGGCACCTGGGGGAGCATCTCCAGGGTGTTTGCCAGGTCGAGGCATCGCAACAAGACCAACTCGCTACAAGAAAACTGTAAGTATGAAAAAATTACCTTAACTTTCACGTTTAATACTTGATTCGAAGATAAAAGATAATTTTTCAATCTCAACGTGCTGATTTTCAAAATATAGCCTGCTCGTGGTCACAGAGTAATATTTTCAAAATTGCGATATTTCGAAGATCGATTCTGCAAAAACGGTTAAATTTACAAGAAAATGTGTTTAGTTAAATTTCGAAAATCGTCGAAAATAGGTCGAAATTTTCAAAGTGGAAAATCCATTTTTGAAAAAGTCGTCTAAAAATGTTCAGAAAATTCAAGGATATAGACCCCGACCTATTGATTCCCAAAATGTTGAGGGTTTATGGTCACGGAGTAATATTTTCGAAATATTCTGAGTGAAATTCGAATTTTTTTAAGTTTTTAAAAATTGCGATTTTTCAATGGACGATTCTGGAAAAACGGTTGAACTAATCGAAAAATGAGGTCGGAAGTGACTTCTACTACCCGAAATTTTCAAGAAAATGTGTCGAAAATCGTCGAAAATGGGGCGAAATTTGCATATCCTATAGTGGACAATTTCATTTTTGAAAAGTCGTCTAAAAATTTTCAAAAAATTCAGAGATATAGATCCCGACGTTCTGGTCCCAAAAATATAGTGTGCTTATGGTCATGGAGTAATATTTTCGAAATACTTTTTCTATTTAAAATTCAAATTTTTTTAAAATTTCATAAATTGCGAAGTGCCTTCCGGAGTTCGAAATGTAGAAGAAAATGAAAGATGGGGAGTACTAAAAATTTCGCGTATTAAAAGATTGTCTAAAAATCCACAAAAAATTCTGATCGCAAATCGGAAAACAGCGTGAATTTTGTAATATTTGTATATTTTCATAATTCGGTTTTTAAAATATTCGAAAAACTTAAGTACATGATTATGATGCGAATTTTCGGAGAAATGAAGCCAAAAAATGGTAATTTTCGAAGCTGCTTGGGACGAACTCAAAATTCTCAAATAAGATGGTTAAATTTTTGACGAACTTAACTTAAAATTTACAAAAAAATGTGGGATATAGATCTCGAAGAGCTGAATCGAATAATATATGGCCTTGATTGTCCTGAAGCAAAATTTTCGGAATATTGTGGTTCAAAATGTATTTTTTAAAATATCCCAAAAACTGCTATTTTGACGATTCTGAAAAAATAACAGTTTCGAAAAAATGAAGCCGTAAAACTTTACGGAGGTGAAAATGAACACAATAAAGTATTTTGATAATTTCGGAAGTTGCTCTGGCAAAGGTCAAAATTTTCATAGATTCAAAATTGAACTTTTCGTGAACTTGCCTAAAATGTGTAGAAAAATCTAGGATGTAGATCTCGATGAGTTTAATATGAAAATAACGTTTTGATGATGTCAGACCAAATTTTTTTTAATTGTACTTTTTAAATTTTATTATTAAAATATCAAAAACTCTTATATTTTAACGACTGTGGAAAATGAATCGAATTTTTTGAGAAATGACGCGCAAAAATTTTCTAGAAAAAAGTCTTTTTTGGTAATTTTCGAGGGTTCTCGGAAAAATTGCAGAATTTTTATGTGGGGGACGAGTACTGAAAAACTAAACATTTGGCAAAGTTGCTTAAAATCCATAAAAAATTGTCGGATATATATCGAGGCATCAAAGAGCTGAGGAATTGGCAAACTTGCCTAGAAATCTGCAAAAAAACCTAAAATGTAGATCTCGACGAGTTGAATCAAAAAATAACGTTTTGATTATGTCAAACCAAAATATCTTATATTTTACTTTTTAATTTTTATTTTTAAAGCATCAAAAACTCTTATATTTTATGTGAACGATTGTGGAAAATGGATCGAATTTTTCGAGAAATGAGGCAAAAAAAAATTCCAGACTAGAATGATGTCTCTTGGTAATTTTGGACGGTGCTCGGAAAAATTGCAAAATTTTCATTTTTAGGGACAAGTAATGAAAAATTGAACTTTTGGCGAACTTAACTTAAAATTCACAAAAAATTTTCGAAGAGCTGAATCAAATAATATATCATCTTGATTGTCCTGAAGCAAAATTTTCGGAATATTCTGGTTCAAAATATACTTTTTAAAATATAACTGCTTCCTTGACGATCCTGAAAAAATAAGAGTTTTCGAAAAAATGAAGGCGTGAAACTTTACAGAGGTGAAAATGAACAAAACAAAGTATTTTTTTAATTTTGGAAGTTGTTCTGGAAAAGGTCAAAAATTTCATAGATTCAAAATTGAATTTTTCGTGAACTTGCCTAAAATGTGCAGAAAAAGCTAGGATGTAGATCTCGACGAGTTTAATATGAAAATAACGTTTTATGGTGACAGACCAAATTTTTTTAAATTTTACTTTTTCAATTTTCATTATTAAAATATCAAGAACTCTTGTAATTAAACGACTGTGGAAAATGGATCGAATTTTTTAAGAAATGACGCGCAAAAATTTTCTAGAATAGAGTCTCTCCTGGTAATTTTCGAGGGTTCTCGGAAAAATTGCAGAATTTTTATGTGGCGGACGAGTACTGAAAAATTTAAGTTTTGACGAAGTTGTTTAAAATCCATAAAACATTTTCGGATATTTTTTTTTTCAACGACTGTGGAAAATGCATCGAATTTTTTCGAGAAATGAGGCAAACAAAAATTCCAATTCTTTCGGTAATTTTCGAGGGTGCTCTTTTGGTGAAGTTGCATAAAATCCACAAAAAATTCTGGAATATAGATCTCAAAAAGCAGAATTGAAAAATATGTTGTGTTGATAGGTCCGAACCAAGATCTTCGAAATATTCGATTTCAAAGTGTGATTTTTTAAATTTGCCAAAAATTGCTATATTTCAGTTTGGAGGTGCTGAAATTCCAAAAATTGTGATAATTCAATGTGCTATTCTGAAAAAACGATTGAAGTTGAGGAAACAAGGTCGGGAAATGACTTCTAGAGCTTGAAATCTAAAAGAAAATGTGTTTAGTTAAGTTTTAAAAATGGTCGAAAATTTGAGGAATGGGAAAGAGAGAGAATTGAAAAATTTCACTTTTGAAAAAGTTGTCTAAAAATCCACAGAAAATTCGGAGATGTAAATCTCGACAATTTGAATCGAAAAACAGCGATTTATAGGTTTTTGAAATGTTTAGTTTCAAAATTTGATTTTTAAAATATCCCAAAAATTTACGCATTGAATGTCTACGATTGTGTTGCGAATTTTCGAAGAAATGAGGGCGAACAAAATTTATACAGGGACAAATCAGTAAAAGATTCTCCTCTAGTAATTTTCGAGGCTGATTGGGAAAATATCAAAATTTTCAAACTAACAAAGTTGCCTAAAATTTCTCAAAAAATTATGGGATATAGATCTCGAAGAACTGAATCGAAAATTGTATCGTATTGGTTGATACTCCTGGAGCAAAATGTTCGTAATATTCAGTTTCAAAGTGTGTTTTTTAAAATATCCCAAAAATCGTTATAATATACTTTGGCGATTCTGGAAAAAAATTAAAGTTTTCGACAAAATGAAGCCGTAACATATTTTAGGAGATGAAATAAACACAATTTTAGGAGATGCTCTAGAAAAGGTGAAAAATTTCATACATTCAAAATTGAACTTTTCACGAACCTGCCTAAAACTCCGGAGTTGAATCTAAAAACAACGTTCTATTGGTGCCAGACCAAAATTTTTAAAATCCTACTTTTTAAATTTAATTTTTAAAAAACTAAAAAATCTTATATTTTATTTTCACGATTGTGGAAAATGGATTGAATTTTTCGAGAAATGAGGCGAAAAAATTTACCAGAATAAAGTCTCTTTTGGTAATTGTCGAATGTGCTCAGAAAAATTGCAAAATTTTCAGTTTTAGGGACGACCACTGGAAAATTGATCTTTTGCCAAATTTGCTTCAAATCCACAAAAAATTCTGGGATATAGATCTCAAAGAGCTGAATTGAAAAATTATATCGTGTTCATAGTCCCGAACCAAAATCTACGAAATAACCGATTTCAAAATGTGATTTTTAAAATATCAAAACAATTGCTATATTTCAGTTTGGAGGTGCTGAAATTCCAAAAATTGCGATAATTCAGTGGGCGATTTACAAGAAAATGTATTTAGTTAAGTTTAGAAAATGAGCTGAAATTTGGAGAGGGGATTTAAAAATTTCATTTGTGAAAAAGTTTCCCAAAAATCCCCAAAAAATCATGGGATATAGATATCTACGTGCTGATTCCAAAAATATGGGGTCTTGATGACCACGGAACAATATTGCCGAAATCTACAATAAAATATTTTTAGTTATGTTTCGCAAATGGACGAAAATGAGTCTTACAATCGAGAAATTTGGTATTTAAACATTTTAATTTTGAAAAGTTGTCTAAGAATTCACAAAAAATTCTGGAATAGATATACTCGTAGATCTCAACGTGCTGATTTTAAAAATATGGAGCTCATATGCCATGAAACAAATTTCTGTTTTAAAGTGAAATTTAAAAAAAAATGGGTGGTTCTGGAAAAACTGTAAGAGTTAGCGAAAAAACGAGGCGGGAAGTCACTTGTGAAGCTCAAAATCTAAAAGAAAAAAATGTATTCCGAAAACCGTCGAAAATGAGTCGAAATTTGAAGCAGAGGGGAGTATTAAAAAATTTCACTTTTGACAAAATTATTTAAAAATCCACAAAAAAAATGTGAGATATAGATGTCTACGTACAAATTCCAAAAATTGGTCTAAAGAGTTTAGACAGTACTTCCCTCGCTGTCGGAAACTTGACGACTGCATGCCTATTATGTTTTTTTCTCATTACATTTTTGTAGTGGGAATTTAAAAAAAAATTGCGATGACGTCATCAACATTTTTGCAAAGACACGTATATCAGTTGGGATAGATGTAGTGTAATACTAAGAATAAAATTATTATATTCTCAAATTTTCTGGAAAATGAATTGGGTCGTTTTGAATATTGATTTGTAATAATCAATAAAATAACGAAACAATTTACTCACGTATACGTATCAGAGG